CCCCTGTCCTTTCTGCCTGTGCACGGGGCACCCCACACAGTGCCCATGGTCGTGGGCCAGAGGGCCTTGTCACTGAGCGATGGGCAAGCAGAGTAGAAAAGGCTGAAAGAGGCGGGTGCACAGGACGAACCACCTCCCCGAGTGCTTTTGTCCTGGGGAAAGACCAGGCCTATATGAATCCATCCCAGGAGAGGTTTGCCCACCGGGCTCAGGGTCAGTAGGTGCCTTTTTCCCTCTGGCAGGGAGATGAGCCGTGTCTCCGGCCCCTTGTGTTCCCGGATCACATTCCACCTGCTGGAGCTGCTGAGCAGGGAGGAGCCCCACTTGGAACTCCTCACCGTGGCATTCCTTGTGGAGGTGAGCCTGATGGCGAGCGCTGCCTGGCCGAGCTGTTTCCACCTCTGCCGACCGGGCACCCTGTCACTGCTCCGTGCCTTTCAGGTCTTGGACTGCCTGGACATGAGTGACTGGGGAGAGAGCATTCTGCAGAGCCTTTCAAGGCACCTCCAGAGTGGGTACCCAGAGAGGCGTCGCCTGGCACTCCGAGGCCTCCTGGTGCTCAGCCAGGATCCTGTGATGGTGAGAAGGGGCAGTTGCCTGAAGCCGTGCTGGAACCCTGGGGCTGGGGAACGCAGTCGCTTGGGCTTGGCTGGGCTTTGGGAGCTATGGCAGCTGCTCCCAGCTCTGCTGCCTCCCCGCTCAGCTGCCCGAGTCCCTCGGGACAGGCCTTTGGCCTCTGGGCCCCGCGGCAGCACGTGGGGCTGCCCCACCGGAGCGGGGTTGGGGCTGCAGCCGTTCATGGCTTCCCAGCACAGCACTGTGTTCCTTACAGGTTGACGGTGTGCGGAGCCTGACAGAAAAGCTCCTGGAGCTACTGTGGGATACAGACGGAGAGCTGGTCAGGATGGCCCTCTCTGTATTCCTCAATGGAGTCCAGGCCAGAGGCATCCCAATCTCCACCCCCACTGCCCTGGAGCTGGTTGAGGTGCTCCAGACACTCTTTGGCTACGACGTAAGGCTCTGTGCCCCCCACCCCAGGCGCTGGGTGCTGCCAGGAAACTGTGGCCTGTGGATTTGCAGGCCTGTGGCCCGGTGGGCCTGGAGCAGCTGGTGCTGAGGTCTTTTCCTTTCCATCAGGACAACATCCACGTGCAGCTGCTCTCCATTGCCCTCTTCCGAAAGGTGTTGAAGTTGGTAGTGGAGGAGGGAAAACAACCCCTGCAGACACACGTGATCCAGAGCCTGCTGCCACTCTTCTTCCTCTCGCATGATGAGAACGAGCATCTGGCAGATGTGAGGACTTTCTGGACTCTGGTGTCCCCGTGGGAGGGGGCCGGGCTGCCTCCTGCCCTAGCACCTCCTGGGATCCAGCCTCCTGCTGGTCTTGGTCCAGGGACACGGGTCCTGTGCCCTGGGCTGTGGTGCCATGTCCTGCTCTCTGTTGCTCTGCAGGCCTCTTGGGAAGTGCTGATTCGTGCACTCAGATTCCTGAAGAGAAGGGATCTCAAGAACATGCTGGAGGCGGACAAGCCGTGGTGGTTCTGCGACTGCCTGGTAAGGACAGCCATGAAGGCCCAGCCCCCAGCTTGAGCAGCCCCCAGTCCCCGACGACCAGTGTGTGAGGCTGGCACTGTGCCCCTGCCCACTGCTGCAGCCGCCCACGGGACAGCAGCCTGTGCCCCACCTGCTGCTGCCTTGCCTGGGGCGTGTGGGCTCCTCTGCAGGCTGCTCTGCCCCCAGGCCAGGCTGCCATGGAGCCCCAGCCCAGCTGGGCTGTGGGGCAGGGCGACCCCGTGGCTGCCGGGGAGCAGCCAGCCCTCTGCTCCCTCCAAAGCCGGCCCGAGCAGCTGCTGCCCGGGCCTCAGGGCTGTGCGGGCAGGGGAGGCCAGTGCTGGGCGCAGGCAGTGCCCGGCCAAGGGGCAGAGCCCCAACCAACCCTTCCCTCTGTGCCCTGCCGCTCTCTCCAGGTGGAAAGCGAGAAGAAACGAGTGGTGGAATTCATGTGGCAGGCCATGCCGTATCTGGAGAGCCCACAGGAGCCCCTGCAAGAGTTGGCCCTCAGGTTCATTGGTGAGCCACAAGGTCCCTCCCCGCCCCGCTGCAGCTCGGCCCCAGCCCCGGCTGCTGCAGCGGCAGCAGGATGCGGCCCAGGGATGTGCTGTGGAGCCCCGAGTGCCCTGGTGGCTGCTGCCGCCCTGTGCCAGCCCAGCCCTGGGGTGTCCCGAGGCAGGAAGGTCCCGGGCTCAGCCCTGCCAGGGCAGGAGGGTGCGTGTGGCCGGGCTGGCAGTGCCGCCGGGGGGAAGCTGTGCCGCTGGGGCCCTGACAGCATCTGTGTTCCCAGGGATCGCCGCGAAGTACCTGAGAAAGGGGCAGGAGGAGGACGAGCTCATCATAGAGGTCATCATTGACAGTGAGTGTGGGCATGGGCTGTCAGCAGGGGCTGGCGGGAGGAGCACAGAGCCTGGGCAGGGAGTTGCAATCCTGCCCCAACTGTGCAGGGCTCTGCTCCCTGCACGGACAGAGCAGAAAGAGATTTCAGGGGCACGGGGGGATTGGTGGCCAGCACTTTCTGGCTGATCCCGTTGGGCCCTGCTCCCTCCTGGCCATGGCAAGAGCTGGGTGGGATGGCCCTGCCAGGAGGGGCTCCTCGGGTCCCTGCAGATGCTGACTCTGATCTTGGCTCTGTTCTTTTCTCTTCCAGCCCTTCAAGGCATGACTGCTGACAGCCCTACCATCTCAAAGCGGGCAGCTGAAACCTTGAAAATCATCGGGGATATCCAGAAGTCAAAACCTAAACCTAAACCTAAACCGACACCGAAATCTAAACCCACCAGATTCCGGTAGCCTCCATTCCTCTCTGTTCCAGCCCTGAGAGGAATGACTGATGACCTCAGACTCACCATTGCAGGCCTGGCCATTCCAAACTGTACATGCTAAGGGCTGTACAAACAGCTCCCTGCTCCAGACTCCAGCAGCTCCAAGACTGGCTCTGAGGAGGAAAATGCCTCTTTTCTTCATGGACGGCCTTTTACACCAGTGTGGGAATATCAAATACATCTGTACATCTTATGAAACACAGAGGCCCAGGAAGTTTTTTTAGAGTCTGGTGTCCACACAAGGGAAGAGGGGAAAAAGGGCCCTTGTGCTCAGCAACACTTGCTGAGGAATGCAGTGGGTAAGGGAAAGTGCCCCAAAGACCCTTGGTCTTGGGGGGGTTCTGCTGGAGCCTCAACACTTCCAGCAGAGCGCATGGGCAGAGCCTGGAGCTGTGGGGATCCCTGAGAACCTGATCCTCGGAGGTGGCCACAAACCCTGTGCCAGCTGGGAAGCAGCGTCTGTGGCCTGCCCGTGTGTTGCTGTCGGGATTGCTGAGGGCTGGGAGGTGCCTCTGGAGGTGGCTCCTGAGGAGCTCTTTCAGGGCTGTGCTGCTGCTGGGCAGGTTGGTGGGGCTGGGGGAGACCCTGAGGGGAAAGGGCTGTTGTTCTGTTTTCTCAGCCCTGTGTTGTACTTTCCAGTCCAACTCGAAAAATTCCATACAGACAAAGATTCCTCCCAGACCAGAGCTGCCAGGATAGAAAGCTCTTGCTGCCCATGGAGTGCCCAGGCTGCCCCACCAACTGCACCTGAATGCCTGAGGATCCAGGCTTTTCTTTCCTGGGGGTGAGGGCTGTTGTTTGATTTTTCAGCCCTGCGCTCAAACTACCAGCCTGACTCCTAAAATTGCATACGGACGAAGAGTCCTCCCAGGAAAAAGGTGCCACCACAGAAAGCTCTTGCTGACCACTGAGTGCCCAGGCTACCCCAACAACTGTAGCTCAAAGCCAAAGCTTCCAGGCTTTCCTTCCTGGGGGAAAGGGCTACTGTTCCCTTTTTTCAGCCCTGCGCTGCAATGGCCAGTTTAACTCCCCAAATGGAATCCAACTGCAGATTCCTGCCAGACAAAAGGTGCCACCAGAGAAAGCTCTTGCTGCCCAAGAAGTGCCCAGGCTGCCCCACCAACTGCACCTGAAGCCAAGAGATCCAGACTTTCTTTCCTGGGGGAAAGGGCTGCTGTTCCCTTTTTTCAGCCCTGCGCTCAGATTGCCAGTCCCACTGCCAAAATTGAATAAAAACGAAGTTTCCTGCCAGACAAAAGGTACCACCACAGAAAGCTCTCGCTGCCCACGGACTGCCCAGGCTGCATCTACAAGGGAATGAAGGACCTTCCACCCAGGAAAGAAAGCCCTTACCCTACATCTCTCATGTGCAGTTGGTGGGCCAATTTTGGTATTCCGTGGGCATAAAGAGCTTTCTGTCCTGGCACCTTTTGTCCTGGAGGAATCGTCGTATTCAATTGTGGGAGTGTCCCTGCCCAAAGGGAAGAACCCTTTTGCAATGATTACATTCACAGCTGGAAATGCCAACAGTTTGTTCCACCAAAGCAAGCTGTGCAGCCCTCCAGCGTCTGTGTAGGATATGCCTGGGAGGTAAATGCAGGCAGGAATGTCTTTCCCTCCACACTTCCACCTGTGGACCAGTTTGCTGGACAGCCTACACAGGGCTTGGGAATGCTGTGCTGCCCTGAGCACTTCTGCTGCTGCAGATCTTGCAGGAAATTTAGAATAGGGAACTGGTTTGGGTCAAGAAGTGCGTGGGAATTTTTTCTGTTGGAGGCTGATGATTCACTGTTGGCTACACAAATACTTCTTGTAAGGCAGATAAAAAATAATGTGAAAACAATGATGTTATATTCATGTGAAAAGTTTAGGACACACATTACACATCTGGAGCAATTAGATGGGATCTTCTTGGGCAATCTGGAAGATCTGTGCAGGATGCCTCCACAATGGCAGTGCAGGAAACAGGCCGTGATGGTATATTTTTATATATATCTACATTACACATTTGCTCAGCTTGAGGTCTAATGTGCTGTTGCTGTTGCCAAAGCCTGTGTGTTTCCAGTATTGTCATTCCTGGTATGGGTCCGCTTTCCATGGCAGGATTTCCTGGAAGAGTATCAAAGCTGTCTTAACTCTCACACATTTTCTGGCAGCCAACTGTCTGCCCAAGTACCCACTCACTCCAGGAGATTTCAGTCACCCAGTGTGCAGTGTGTCACCAGCTTCCCCAGCTCTGAACTGGGAGCTTGGCAAATGCAGCTTTTTGAAAAAGCAAGAGACATCATCATGCTTATGAGCAAACAAGCTGGGACCACGAAAAATAAATACAGAAATAAAAAACAAAGTAAGTAAATAAAATAAATAAATAAACCAGAGAGACGTTCAGGCTTTCAGATTTATTCCCATTTCCTTGACCAATAAACTTGACCAAGCAGTGACCAAGCATTTACCTTGTGACATTTTTTTTGCCACCGCAAGTGATCCTTTTGATCCGACTTTCCAAATAAAAACTCAGTTCATTAAATGACAGACAAACCCAGTGAATGTAAGTGGAAAACGCTTCTTATTTGGGAAAGTGGCAAAAGTAATCTTGATTCTTTTTTGGAGCTGTGAACACTTTGTGTCCCTGAACATTCTTGATTCAAACTCCTTAGCCTGAACCTAAGGATATTTCCATGCAGGATTCATCTGAGACCGACAGGATTCCTATGTACGTCTGTTTTGGCACAGCTGATTCCTTTTATTCCTGTGTGTCTCAGTGTTCTGGGTCCCTGGACCTGTGCTGAGGATCACTGCTGCAAACAGGCATGTGCAGCTTCTCCTCACCTTAATATTCAACCCCAAGCCAAAGGGAGAAGGAGGGGGGGCAAAACTCCAAACTCATGTGCAACATAAAGCAGAACCAGATTCTGCTGAAGATGTGGTTGGCTTGTTCTCCTGACCGAGTTTTCTAAAATCTCTGTCTCAAAGCCTGTGTTCATCACACAGGCAGTTCTGCAGAAAGCAGGTGATTACAGCAGGTCTGTGTGAGGCAGAGGTGTGTGGGTGTCACATGAAGGGCACAGCTTGTGCCAGGGATGCTGCTCATCCACCCGGGAGGTGGCTGTAAGACATTTTGGAGAAAATTTGCTCCCTAGTCCCTGAGGCAGCACAGGAACAATGTCCCAAACCCAAAGGTCCCATGAGTAGTCATGGACAGCTGACAAGGGTGAGGGGGTTTTCTTGAGGTGTTGACAATGTACAACCTACAAAGCCCCATAAGCCTTGCTTCTTGCTTTCTCCTGGTCCCTACTCCACTGCTAAACCATATTTTTCCCCCTGGTTACCATCTGAGGACAGAGGCTGCTGAGGTGCACACAGGTTGCCCAGGTTGCAGCAAGTGAAACAAGGATAGGAGATATCTGAAGGTGATTGGTGCCAATTCCTACAAAAATGGACCACAAGTGGAGAACAAACAGAAAGGTTGATTGAAGAGGAATGGTTTAATGTAGATAGAAACTGGATAATACCTCAGGTGGGAGCTGCTGTCTGCTCAGGTGTGTGACAAAGGGCTCCCTTAGTGACCAAACTGCTTCTATGCTACTACAGCAGGAACTTATGCATGGGATTGCCCCAGTGAAGCACTGCACAGTCCAGCTGAAAAAGGACCAGACATGTGAAAGTTTTTCATTAGCAGTTTTGTTGCTAACCAAACCAGCCCAGGTTCGAGGCAGAAGTCTGTTTTGGAAACTTCTAACCCTTTCCTCTACTGCTGTTGCATTATTTTCAAAGTATGATTCTACCCTCATACGCAAAATAATGTCTCGCTTACCAAGGATTTTTGCTCATATGTACAAACCCCAGTAAAGAAAGTTGAACACAATATATACACTGGGAAATATAATCCTGGAATACGTGTCAATGACGTGATTGTTCTGTAAAATAATCCTGCCCACGTTTCCCTTCAGAGATTTCTTCAAGCGAGTTGGTTCCTCACTGGAGATGTTGGTTTCGCTCGTCCGAGTCTCATTCTCCTCACAGGGGTCTGAGAAACCAGACAGGTCCATGTCATCTGTGTCATGAAAGCAGCCGTCAAAAGCCATGGCTTGCACTGCATCCATATACACTCCTGAGGCCTGGCAACAAAGAACAGTTAGTCTGTGTCTACAGGAGACATTTCAGTAAATTATAAACAAAGAGGAAGCAAAGAAAGCTCTCCCTTCATTGTTGTTCCCTCTTAGAGAGCGTATGGAGAAGAGGGTTACCCCACAGTACAGCAGTGTGTGGGCAGGACGTGAGCAAGGAAGGGGGTACACGTGATAAAATACTCCTGTCTGACTGATTACTGCCAGCTGCTGGCTGGCAGTACGTGCCCCAGCTTCTGAAACAGAAGAGTCAAACTCTCTCCTGTAGGTCTGCACTGCTGGAGCTGTGGGAAATGACTTCAAACATTTCCATCAGATCATATGAGCAACACATGCACCCTTTCTGTGGTTTTCCCCTTGTGATATCCCAGCAAATGAGTTTCCATGGGGGGATGTTCTTGAAGCAAAGGTTTTAAGCGAGCGCTTCACAGAAAGCAGATGTTTAACTTGCGACCATTTCTGCTTCAGGCACACTTTTCTAAAAATGACCTTGTCTTGGGACAAAAAGGCATCATTAAACCCACCTTTCCAATTGAAAATGGCAAAGCAGAAAAAGGAGAAACAGACTCTGCTTCACAGGAAACAGGAAGGAATATCACATGAGTGCATTCTGGGGTCTGTTTCAGAGACAGGCAAAACGCTTTTTTAATATTTGAGATTTGGAATTGAGATAGGTATTTGAGAACAGAAGGAAGGTTACCTTCCTCTGAGGGGGAAAAAAGGGAGAAAAAAATCAGGAGGTGAGTATTCCCTATTATCTGCTGGAAAAAAAAGGAAGGGAAAAAAAGCACAGAGCTTCTCAGGATCTCAGAGAGAATGATACATTTCCTCCCTTCAACCAAGTCAAAAAAAGGTGAGATATGGAGTGACACAGAGATAGTTACTGTTCTGTTATCACAGTGGTGTATGGGGATTACTCTGTGGCTTCTATGGTGCTTTCTGAAGGCAACAAAACACAGAGGACTGTACCTTGCCCCTTTTTTTGAGTTGCTTTCTCTCTTCAATCGTGGTGAGATAGTTCACTGCTGCATATTCAATGACGGACAGGAAGACAAAAAGGAAGCTGATCCACAAATACACATCCACAGCCTTTATGTAAGACACTTGAGGCATTGAGGCACTTACTCC